AGTGTCACAGCTGCTTGTGAATAATCAGATAGATAAAAATCGACTCGGAATCTATTTTCGTATTCACTTCAGATTGTCAACCTGTTTCATTCTAAACAGCTACTTATGAATCTATTCCCACAGTTATGAATACCGTTTGTGGTTAAGTATTTTTCTAGAGGATCCCAATAATTTACGGGAGCGATGGGACAATGCCGGAGGCATGGAAATTTTGCATAATTCCCGACGGCGGTTCCCGCGTCCGAGAAACATTGAGAACGCGCGGCTATCTCTCGGCAAGAACGGAGCGCAGCAGCAGCGTCGGGTAAAATACAGGGTGGTCGGCGTGTCCCAGTTCCAAAGTTATGCAAAGGACTCATTCATTCGCTCAATAAGGCAATCAGGAAGATATTTCGGCGATTTGGTAGTCTAACGAGGCGGCCAAACGCCGAGCTCGAAAAACGAAACGCCGCCGCGTTCCTCTATTCACACTGACAACCCCCATACGGTTCTGTTTTTCAATTAGGAAACGAGTTCACGCTTTCCCTAGAGATCCATCTTCGTAGATAACCATTCTTCACAGAAATTGAACGAAATCGTTTTATTAAAACGAGGAGATAAATGTGACATGCAAAGGAGCTGGATTTTAAATTAATAAACTGAAGTTTTTTTTGAATACGAGTTATTGAAATGTAAATTCGATTGTGAAATACTTGTACAAACGAAATGTGGCCAGAAATTCTTAAAATAAAAAATAGTATCCTACGTTGAGAGCTTTGTTCTCAGGTTACCTAATGGGAAAGTATACCAGCTTATTAAAATCTCTGCGTACTGATTTGACCGCGTCGATCATCACCGTGAGGCCCGCAAAACGAGGAGCATTCGTAAATGATGCTAGAGGCCAATTTTTCACACTATTCCCCGCGCGTCATCCGTGATAATCGTTCGTTGAATCAGCTTTTTTCTCACCATCGGGTCGGTTTGACTTTGGAACAACGTCGGAAGGCAGAGAAAAAGAGGAGCTGAAAGAGAGCATCGTGGAAGGGTCGAACCGCTAAGTGGGCCCTCGGTAAGGCCGCACGAATTTCTATTAAAAGCGGCAATTAGTCTAAGTCTCGATAAATCTTGATGAGTGATACGCCGGCATCAGTTTGCTTGTCAAAGACGCCTATGGCGAGGGCCACACCAACGTTTCAACATACATTGTTTCCACGGCTCGGAAATAGGAGAACGAAGTGTGGAGGTTTGTGTGATTCGTTGTGCGTAGAAACGGGCCGTCGTTGTTATGTTAAAACCAGGTGAGTGGAACGCGGACGGCCTTATACGTGGCATCGTTAGACCTTTTAATGTGACCAGGGCTTTGAACTAGAATGAAAGAATACTTGTGAATTGATAGTAAAAATATGCGAACTTTTCTGAGAGTTGATAATGAAATGAACACATCGCATTTAAAAGTAGTCGTTAACGTTTGCGGTGATCACTTTATTCTTAAACACAATCGCTCACTTATGGTAACGCAATCCAATTTCAATTTGTCGGCCATTGATTTACTGGAACAGAAATAATGATTCCCGTTGAATAAACATATTAAAATTCCTTTGTCGCCGACCGCTATATTCGATTAAACCAAATTCACGTTTCAATCTATGGTTAGTATGAAACGTGATAAAAAAGAGTAAGTTGATCTTAATGGAACGTGTAAACTGTGCGACTCCACAGTGAAGATTTTTCATCCCTTAAACACGCAGCGTGAACGAGCGCCATGAGGAACCCGTAGAAAACAGACGAGACGCAGATAAAAATCGGGATCACCCATGGAAGCTAGTTTAGCCGTTGGACACCTGACCCGTTTAACGCGTAGAAAAAGCTGTCCATTGTGTGATTATACATCCGAGACTTAGTCGATGCGCGTCGGAAACCGGGAAAGAGGTGTTGCGAACACTTGTTAGTTCCGTGTAGTATCCCGCGTGACGTAGACAAAACGGGGCTCCGATGTTTCCGTTCTCGGAGGTGCTCTCGCATTGTCTAGGAAGCGGTAAATTCGGCGTGAACTGCGGTCGAGTGCCAGTAGTCCCGGCAACGAAAAAGGACCTCTCATTTCGTGGCAGAAGGAGAAAGCCCTATTTAAGTCACGGATCGCAAGGTCACGTGTACTCCGGGGACCAAAGAGTGGACCAGCACGCTCTAACGCGGAAGAAATTGATTAGCCGATTTTGTCGAATCGATAGTAGCAGGTCCCGCTCCTTCCCTATTGTCGCCAGTGACTAGCCACCCTGCCCGCGTGTCTAAGTTCAAGTTCGAAACGCTCCTTTTAACCGAAAAACGAATCTGAACTGTCATCTTCGCACCCGTCTTGCAGCCTCTTTTTTTCTAAGCTCCTCCGCCCGTTTTCGGTGCCTTTCTGGATCACTGAGGTTGGTGAATTCGCCAAAGATTTTTAGATAGCGAATTGTTTTACGGATTAGAATGACGTAGTTTATGACAAGAATTAATAATAAGCTTAGATGTGTTACTCAATATCTGAATAAAATATTGAATAATTTGAAATATTTGTTTTGTGTAAGGGTAGAGCGAATTTAATTCAAAATGGGATGATTGGTGTTCACGTGATAATTGTTCGATAATAACTGTTTGGATATCGTCTGTTGTTTCCTCGTGGTAAAACCTGGCTTGATATCATTTCTAAAATATAATTATTGAAAATGATACCAAGCGAAGACCTACGAATTCAAACTTTCTCTTTTTTAGCATAAAAATTGGGTAACAAGATATTTTAAGGATAACACATTTTACAAGTGTTTCAGAATTACCTCATGCATGAATTTAACTTGCTTAGTTTTAGATATTTCTTTTAAATCCAAATCGAATTATCAGATGATAAAATAAGTATTTGAAATGAACCCAAAGCCCAAATAGTCTTTGAGTCTCTGGTGTGGGTTCATTCACTGTATCCTTGAATGGCAGGGTTAAAAGAAAGTAATAAACCGATTAGGAAGCGTACTCATTGCACCACATTCTAGGTCCCCGGATATTATCCATTTTCATAAACCAATTATCACGAATCATTATCGCTCACCATAAATCTCTGACAAGTTTGCTTTGCTCTGCGACACAGTTGAAAGACTGCAATATTTACATTGTATTTTTACAAAGACCGGTCCTTGTTCGACAGTATCTATCCTCCGGGCCGGTCTGAACGAGGCGAGGACATTACGTGCATTCGCTCATTTCGCAGGACCTCCCGCTGCCCGTCCGTTTCGCTACCGTGCGGAAAGATTTACAAGCCAAGCCGAGAACGGGAAGGCGAGGCCTTCGTAAAAATTTATACCGGTCCATCATGCGTTCATTATGATTTTACTCCCAGACAGTGGCGGCCGTAAATATTCCTCGTTCTCGAGCAACCAGGATCACTTTTTTCTACCCTGGGAACTTCTACTTAGGTCGAACGCAGGTAAATTGAAATTCCTCGAAAGCTTTGGTTTTACTACTTTTAACAGAGACTCAGGAGTACCAAGTAATATCCTGTGAAATGAAAATGGAGCTAATCCTTCCTACGACATGTAAACAGGAGATATTCAAAGCAGGAAGCAAAGAATGGTTGTATTAATCTCTCGAATGACAAGTTACCACATCATCGTGATTTAACACATTATAAAGACTAATAGATGCTTAAAATCAACTTGCTTAAACCGCATTAATTATGCATTAATATCAAGCTAATCTGGAATTACTTTTGATCTATTTTTCCTCATTCATTGAATTTTAAATAATCCTGAAGGAGATAAACTCTTATAGCAGCGTGATAAAACAGAATGTCAGTGTTATTCGTTAAAGTGGCTAAAAGATATGAATGTAGGCCATTCAATTCTACGTTTTTACTTCTCAGGGAATCAAGATAAAATTCGTTTTAATGTTTAGTTTAAAATTCATTCTAAAAAACAATTGTTATCTTGATTCTCTGAGAAATGAAGACGTAGAATCGAATGTTGTAAGCCTATATTTTGCACTATTTCTGCTTAGTTACTAATAAAAACAACAGAAAATGTCAGAAATTTACTGACAAGTTAAAATTCATATGACTACCTTAGTTCCTTAACTCGTCCATTGGATCAGATATTGGAAGATCTCGTATACATGTGTCCTTAAAAGCAGCCGTAAATACAGCATAGATACAACTAAATCATCAGCATATTTCATTACGCCAACTACCGCCGATTTACGCCTACTCCGAGCCCGAATCCCATCCAGGCGTTCGTCGCAGCGTCGTGCATACCCTCCCGGATCCCTGTTGAACGATAAAAAAAGAAAAGGCAAATGCGAAAATCCAGCTGTGGTGAACATCCAGTGAACGTTGAAGCGAATCTCGAGAGGCGTTTCTACGAAAGCGAACGCCCACTATAAAGGATCATGCTTGGCAACCAACAAGAAACGTAGGGCGTAGCCTTTGAATGGGACCCCTCTAGTAGCCCGTCAGTCCCAACGAGTCGACGCCGGTTTTTCCGGGTCGGAGAAAGAAACAGAGAGCCACCCATTGCTCTAACTCTAGGAGGGACACGAGGGGACCGGTGGCCCAGCTGACACTACGTTATTGCGCCGGTACCCCTTGCAACGAAAGCCACGCGTCCCGGCTTGCTTGTTCCTTTTCTCCGGCGTCCAGTTTTTCCATCCATTTTCACTCTTCCTCGTTCCTTTTTCTTATATCTCCCTCCTCATCACGTAACGGCGAGACGCGACGGCTCGTTCCCTGTCATCCCGGCGCGCGTGCCCTACCCCCGTCGCGAGAGGCCCATGCATCCCGCGATCTGTCCTTTTCTCGTTCTCCACCTCCGACCTTTCGGAGCCCGAACACTCGTGTTGCCTCAGGCGGACGCGGTGCCCGGCCTCGTGCTCCCGTAGAGGCATCTCGGTAGCTCGTACAGTTCCGCGCTCAGTGATTCAGTTTTGTGTTTGTCTTCATTGTACAAGTGGGTGAGTTTTCGTGCAACGCTGAACGCTGGAGGGTAGCCGAGTTCCTGGGAAGGATGGACGTCACCAGCGGCATGCGGCCCATCTTCGGAGGATACCCGTTTCAAGGTTTGTTAACTCACACTGTTTAGTCATTCATCTTCATGCATATCTTCACAGAGAAATGTAGAACTGTAATTTATATTCATGTGCAATCACAGAACAAAGACATGTGAACAGTATAGGAAAAGGAGTATATTAATTATTACAGTTCAGTTTAAGCGATAAGCATCCATTATGTCAGTTATTCGAAATCATATATCATAGTTTAATAGCTGTTACATCAAACATATTCAGTAAAGCGCACCCCTAATGTTCTGATAATTGGCATACGATCTCGCTGCTTCACGAACTGGTTGATTTCTCAACAACGGCAACTTTGTAGCCGTTCCACTATTAGTTAAATACATATGGATTAAAGTCTTCAGTATTGGTTGCTAGAAACCTTTTGCATAATCTCTTGCACAAGCTGTCAGCTTTCATCCTGTGACATAATAGACACAGAGGAGAAGCGAGATCGTTTACCACGGTTGTCATCACTCTTTTTCTCTTTTCCAAAACTTTGATTAGATACCATGTAGGAAGGACTTTATAAGATTTATTAATAGTAGGAAAATAATAGCAAAGCGGTCGCATTATTTTAATGAATTGAAATAATTGAAAAGCCTTTGATAATAAAAATTTCTTGGAACACAGAACAGCTAAACATTTCTTAGAATTGTATTAAAAATTCCTTAGAACATTTAATATTTACCAATTAATTTATTATAATACGCTATTTCTACACCCAAAAATGAATATTGTATCTGTGAAACGATAATAATAATGTTAAGAATCGTTGGGCTACTTTTTCTACAAAACGATGCTAATTACAAGCAGTATAATGGAGCGTGTTAATGAAACTAATATAACGGCAGGAGGGTAGCTAATTCAATTAATGATATCGCAGTATTGAACCACATTTAATTTGGAAAAAATCTACCAATGTAACTGTAATTACACTCCGGATTTTATTTATTCTCATCTAAAAATTATTTTCTTCTACATTACTTTTCTGTACCTCCTATTTATTTTTAGTATTAAATGTTCCTCGACATAAATTTTGCACGTACGAAGAATAGAAACGGTTAATTCTGGTAAATTCTTCAGTAGAATTTTAACTGACGGTCCGTTAGACAGTGACTTTGTCTTTGACTATTAAATAGACGGTTGGTCACGGCCCTTCGCTTTTCAATGCTTTTGTCTTTTGAAAGTGTACGCTCTTCAATTGGATGGACAGACGTTCGCGATAGCGTTACGTTGATAGAATAGAAAATTTAAATGGACATTGTCAGTCTGATAATTCAATAATGATATATCAATTATCTTCATACAGTAACATGTATCTACATATGCTGTGCTTTCGAATTAACAAACGTCGTCATCGTTCCTTCGTCTCTAATACAGATTCACGATTGATACTCTGAAAATTAATTTATCATACAATTTCATCAGCCACGAAACTCGTCTAGCCAAACAAGTCTATTTGCATAAATTCTGCCATCTCCCAAATGAGCGTGAGCCTCGGCATCGATTGAGATGTTCGAGCCCGTTGAACCGAAACGACGCGGGAATGATTGAAACACTTTCAACAGGTCAGGGACGCATGAATCAACTGGGCGGCGTCTTCATCAACGGCCGGCCGCTTCCGAATCACATCCGATTGAAAATCGTCGAGATGGCAGCCGCCGGTGTCCGGCCTTGCGTTATCTCGCGGCAGCTCCGCGTTTCTCACGGCTGCGTTTCGAAAATCCTGAATCGGTACCAGGAAACGGGATCGATCAGGCCGGGCGTGATCGGTGGTAGCAAACCGAGGGTTGCCACCCCCGAGATCGAATCAAGGATCGAGGAAATGAAGAGGGATAATCCTGGAATATTCTCGTGGGAGATCAGAGAAAAGCTGGTCAAGGTAAGAAATGATCGCTTGCACAATTGATTCTATGTTGATTAAAATAATTTATTCGTTACCAACAGTATAAAAATATTTTAATTAAATCCTGAATTATTCTACTTAGTATATTGCGACCTGAGATCAGTTACAATGCTCCGAAATATTCGAGTCAGAACTATTTGTCTTCAATGAAACGAAGGGCACATGATACATGTTCAATAAAACACTATCTGGTTTAAATGCAATAAATGTCGTATTTAGTTTTTCACGAAGGAAAAATGTTGGGAGGCGTCGTCGGACCTTTCGATAGAGGGGGTGGCTATTTCCGCAGGGTCCCCCTATCTCCGTCGAGATCGCGGGTGGAAGTGGGGCTTTTTAATCTTGTGCACAAGGCGTGCGCGAGGTGGGCAGGGGTGTACGTGAGCGGCCCGAGGCGACTCGCGTGTCCTTTAATACATTACTGCCCGCCGCCTACACCCACGCATCATTGGCGTAACGCTCCCTCGTTCGTGCCGCGATTTTCGAGTATGCAAAACGGCTTTTCCAAGAATAGCCGCTCTTCCGTGTCCGTCGCTTTATCTCGGCGTACCTTGAAAAATCGCGAACATAGCCGCGAACTACGTTCGCCCAAGTTATGTGAGCCGAAGATGATCGTTTTCACCGCAGATAGTGATTTCGATAAAAAGAGACACGTTTAACGTGATAATGAAGAGGTATGAAAAATTTCAGGGGTGGTCTGGCTTCTAATCATTATTACAAATATGAATTGCGTGTCTCGAATTTTTCTTAATAAATAGGGTTCGTATGATTTTTAATATTGATCAATTTTATTCAGTTTTAAAAGAATTAATCTAATATTAGTAATAGATGCTTCAGCTGAGATTCAGCTGAGATAAAAACTATACTAATTCGGAATATTCAAAGATGTATACATTCACAATTCGAGGGTGGTCTAGCTGCCGAAGCCTCAGATCAAGATAGCGAAGTGGCAGTAGCAGTTAGACAAGGAAAAAACAGTGTAGAGCATCTTGCTCGCGACGAACCAGCAGAAGGTTCTTAAACACGAATTCCAATAAAACCGAACCGCAGCCGGGGGCCACGTGGAACCCAGGGCGATCTCTCGATAGAGAGATAAGCCGTTGATGCAGGGAGAGCGAAACGGTCGAGTAGGAATGAGACAAAGAGGGTCGAAGAAGAGAAGCCGGTGGTCGAGGCTGAAGGAGGAAAAGCGGTTTCGCGGACGCGTACGCCGTTGCAGAGTCGTGGAAGCAGGCGGTCGTGGCCGGCATTAATACGGCATTTAATGTTGGAAGGAGGCGTTCCTGGTCCCGAGGAGACCCGGGGCGGCATCCGTCTTTCTCCAGCGACCATCGTCAGGACGTTGCCACGACGAAGAAGTCCGTCTCTTCCTCTCGCGCTGTCATCGCCCCGGACCCCAAAGCCTCGACCGCCACCAAGGATCGTTATTGTTTCTGAGATCGCCGATCCGAAAGATAGCCATCGACACCGGCGACCCCCTTTTTCGCTTTTTTCACCTTCCGTCCTCCCTTTCCTCATCGGGACGTCTTTTACCTCCTGTCAGGACTCCCTCCTCTCGCCTCGCGAGCACACCGTTCCTTCACCTTCGCCCTAGGACACTCTAACTTCTTCCCTCCTCTGTCCCTGTCCCGTTGCATCCTCGATTCGCTTTCTCTCAGCTTCGTTCTGGCCCTGCAACGGCACCAGCCGATTTCTCGGTTTTCTTTCTCGGCTATCGGCTATCTGCGAACGTTTTCGGGTTATCCGTCGATCGATTCTCGATGAGATAAAACCGATCGATAACAGCCGAGAGATTTTTACCGATCCCTCGATCGCCTCCGGCACTTGCTAGCAAGATGTTATTGTTTCATGTGGTAGGTATGGATCACGGTAGTCAACATCGAGATTTACGAGCAGCGAGACAACGCATAACGACTCTATATCTTAATGAACAAATATTAATCAATTATAACGTGATGTGTAAACCGCGGATCGTTATAAAAAATAAAATGTTAATAGTGCCAGTTTAAAAAATGTGTTTTATGTGAAAATTTCTTTTATCATCTAGATATTGCAACGTGCACTCTACTTTTGATATTTCCTACATTTGTGTTTACACCTTTCGCATATTCACTTTTCTTATAAACGCATAAAATCCACAGTCTGGACACGGGACTTGAAAGTTTATGATTAAATAATTACTGAGAAGAAAATGTATTTCAGATAAAAAAAGGTCTAACGTGTGATATAATATAAAATGAAATTGCCAAACCCTATTTTCCACTATCAGCTGCTACAACTACGTATACATTATACATGTATGAATGGGATAGAGCTACTACACATTAATTGGAGGCTTGCGTTTAGTTCCGGAAAAGGATTATTGACGTTTATGGCCTATTAAACGTCAAAACTTGTAATAGTCGTACGATTTAAATATTCATCCATCCAAAAATTAACCAGCGGCATTGTAACTTTGTATTCATTGGTCTGATAGAATGACCGTTAAGCATGATTAGCTTATGGTAATGGTCGATTGCGAAATCATGGTTTCACGCCGGACAATTATGTACCTACTTCTCTTGATAGCAGACCGAGAGTCTACAGACTTCTTCACCACTTAATTAACAGCTACTTTAAACCGCAGTGTATTTAATTTATAAAACGAGTTAGGAAGTTTATTCGAAGTCTCTATTACAAGATCCCGTACACGATTTACCTTTACGGAATCGTTCAAGTATTCGAGCATAGTAAAAACACTCGCATAGATGTAACGGTACGCAGCGCAATGTGTAATAACGCTGAATCTCGGCGGCGCAATATGTATATTTTGCTTTGAAAATGATCGCGCAAAATTGTAGTGCGGTAAGCTGTGTTCGCGAATCGCAAATGCCAGGCGAAACGCAGTCCGCGTTGCGGCTGCCAGCGAATTTCCATTGTCCTTCGAGATTTGTGCATTTTAAGACGCAACGGGAACTTCACATTTCTTATTCACATTTAAACCAAAAAGAATTATGAATTGAATATAATCATATTAAATTTCAATTGATTAATCTGCTATTAATTTTTAGTCGTATATTAAATTGTATAATTGCATGATGTATCATTTTTATATTTTCTATTTGGATAGGAAGGCTTCATGGATCCTCCAAGCGTCAGTTCCATCAGCAGGTTACTTCGCGGTGGCCGACCTGGTGACGATGGGAAAAAGGACTACACCATCGATGGTATATTAGGCGGCAGTAAGTCAATCTTTTTACAAAGTATTAGTCATCATAAAATATACACTCTGCTCTACTCTATGAAAAATTTAACGACACAATCGATCTCTGAAAATTGAATGAACCGGCTTGATCAAAGATCGTTCAGTACGTGGAAAATGAAGTTAAAAAATGCAGTGAGAAGCTTGCGAGCCTAAACTCGGCTATTAGAATACCAACGCGTCAGAGAACGATCCCCCACGACACGCAATCACATACTTAACTCAAAACCCAAACGTCACCGTTCACGAGCCATCTCCAAAGATACATCGTCATACGACGTCGCACGTCATCGGGGCGTTAATTATTCGTTCCCTGGGGTGAAAAAGTGTGCAGCGAGAAAAGGTTGCGAGGGGAAGAGAGAGACGGTTGTACGTATGAGGGGAATAAGAGAAAAGGAAGCGTTGGTAGCGATGCGAGGCGATATCGCGGCGCGGAGAAACGACGAAAAGAAACGAAGAGGCCAGGCCCGATCCATCGTCGGAGGGCATCAAGAGCTTTTAACCTCCTGTGTCTACGAACGAAGTTTGACGTATACGTACGCGCGCGTGTGTACGGGACCTTAAGTCCGGTCCTACGTCGTCGGTTAGGCCAAGTTAGTCCGAATGAGCCCGGATGGGAAGGGAAGCCTTCAGGATTTAATCTTCGGTGGGCGTGAGCAGGATTAGCCAGGTTGCCCACACGTCCGACAAACGGATTACAGGAGTGTCAATATCTTACGGGCCACGCATTATCCCTCTTCTCCTGCTCCTTCTTCTTCTTCTTCTTCTTCTTCTTCTTCATGTTCGCATTCTTTCATTTTTTTTCATTTCATCCTTTTTCTCATTTCGTTTGCGAGCCGTGACTTCCTTCTTGAGGCCTCGTGCGATTATTTTTTTCAGCTGCTTTGTGGAAATGTGGATACTGTTTGGTAGCATCAGTCTGAGCTCTGTATTAGAAAGCCTTGATTTTTTAACGATATTTAAACAGCAATTTTTACAACTGTTTTTATTATTCTAATCCGCATATTTAAATATTCCATCGAGTAAATGACGGTCCTCTCAATAATGAGAAGTTAAACATAAATCATGCGAACATGAAGGAATCGAACGTGACAACGAGTCGGCGTCCGTCGACACGAGGCGGGAATTTGTTTTCGTGAGTGATACAGGTAGACAAGGAGGAATTAGCGGGTACAGGTGTTCCGAGGTCTTAAAAGTTGGGACCGTCAGGCACGTTGCCGTGAGAGAAGGGGAGAATTCGACGTGCATAGGAACGGGGAAGAGGATCGGGGGAGGACGGCGTGGGTCTCATAAATAAAAATAGTCTGCGCGAGGGAGGAAACGGGAAGAAGACGAGAAACGGACGCGAAGAAGAAGAGCGATGAAATGAAGAGAGAGAAACGACGCGCCGTGGGGGTAGGAAAGGAGACGCATGCATGTACGCGCGTTTATTTTTATAGAGGAAACGAGAGGGAAACGGGCAGAGGAGAAAGGGTGGAATAGGGACGGATGGATCCTTCGATCGTGGATCTTGGAGAATGCGAGGATAGAGGCGAGAGGCGAGAGGGACCGTGAGGCCCTGTGAGAGTCCCGCGGAGATCAAACGGGCCGCCTGCCACACGTCGACAGTGGTGCTCATTCATAGATCCTCATTGCGTCCTGCAACGCCTCTAATACTCACGCTGTTCACAAGTTCTGAGAGCTCTTTGTGTTATCTTTGGACCTGATAGTCTATCAGTTTAAATTAAATACTACAAGGGATGTGCGTCTGGTATGCCAATTACGAAGTTAATAAAAATTCACGTCTGCATTTGAGATGAGTAAAACCATTCTACAAAGCTCATACTTTATCGATAAACGGAGAGAGACTAATGAAATTACTTGAATCACTGCTAATATTGTAAAAGTAGTACCGTTAAAGGTATTGAAAGCCGAAGAATCTACATTGATGATGATCGATTAGGTTCTTATTAATTACGTACCATAAAAAGTAATCAGAATGCTGACGAATTCAATGCGAATTGATTAGCGATTTAATATCCTACTCCTAAATTAAAAAAAAAAGCAATTGACGAATCGTGCATAGACTATAATTTACTGTGATGAAAAAACAACCGTCATGTAAACATTTATGGAAATTAAGAGATAATAGGGCAGTATAATAATATACAACGGGTGTATAATCGATTAGCCGCAATTATCTCAATGATATCGATATTGACATAGCTGCTACGATTATATCGGTAAACTATGTTAATTAAATGTATGATACCGGCCGCGATGAATATTAATAAAACGCGTTGCGGGACAGGTGTAAAACCGCGGAGGGCTGTTCTCGAGGCGATCGGATTCCCCGAGAGAAGTGTTCGCGGCGCGCCGGCCCGCTTTAAAACCGAACCCCTCAATTAGAGATATCCATCGCCATAGAACCGCGTTCAAGCATTCATCGAGCCCGCAAATGACCGTCGTTAATGTTTAATACCTTTTAATTAAAACTTAATCCATCAAACTTTTTTCACCGCGTACACCGATCTCGCGTGAATACTTGTAATTATCACTTTCGGCCGTACCGACCCATCGCCGAGCCGAGATTGGGACGATCGTTACGTTCAAATTACACGTCCTCTGCCTTCAAACAGATTGAGGGAATTAGCATCTGCTGATTTGTAACGTACGTATAATTTTCTCAACTGAATTCACTTGTAGAGGATTAATTGATTTATCGAATAATTGACGTCGTCGATTATCTAATTATTTAGACATTTAGTTTTCGGAGTAAATCAAACTGTAGAATTAACACTAACGGTATCTGTGTATCCTATTTGTTCCGATACGAGGAGTCAGGGAAATGTGCAACGCCTGATAACGGTTCACGGAGTAGCCAAGTTGACTTTCGCATTAAATTAAACCACTGCACTGCCGAGACCATCTGAAGAACGCAATATGAACGGGGGAGGGGCAGGCTACGGTGGACGAATTCCATCGTCGACGGCGGAGAATTACGGGATAGCGGTCGTGATAGGGAGCACCTCTGAGCGGATATACTCGTACGGCTCGGGCACGAAAGTGTCGGGGCCCGACCGAGTATAGGTGTCGGCAGGCGAGCAGGAATGACACGTAGCCTGTGGCTTTCTCATTCCTTCTTATTCAGTCCCTTTGGCCGAGGCCGCCGACGAGGGATTAGCCTAATGGGTCCTGCCCCCCCCTCTCTCTCTCTCTCTCTCGCTCTCTCCTCCTTGCTCGTTCATTCCCCGGGTGTGTTACACGTATATGTATCCATCCTGATCCTTTAACACCACCTTCGACCTCCTACGTAATCGGAATCGGCCGAACCCGATGAGCAACGCCGCTAAGTGATTCACAATCAGGTTTATTGATTGTATCGATGATCGAGACCCTGCGAACAGGGAGACATTTAATCGATCTTCTATCATTTCATCTCTGGAAAGTATCAAAACGTAAACGTGTTAAAAAAGCTTCCTCAGAGATAATTGAGTTCCTTGGAATTTCACAAGTTCAAATCACGAGATTATAAATTCGCCTTAAACACCATGCAAAAAAATTTATTTAAATTATTCATGAGGCAGTAGAGAACAGAAGTGAACTCAGCTTCATGACTAAGTTGAAACAGAAACGAGACAAATGTAGTTACATTAATGCAGATTACAATGGTATCAGGAGCAGCATTAAACGACCAGCACAATATTATCGGCAATAATGTGAAGTAAACGTCAACGATTTCTTTCACGAGCCTCGATGGACTTTATCAAAAGCGCACGGGACGATATCATCTGGACAGGCAATGAGCCATCACATAGGAAAAAGAATGGGAGCAAATGAAGAAAGAGGCGTCGGGTCGAATGTGTTGGAACGGAAAAAAGGAGCAACGTCAAAGAAAAGGAGCAGGCCTGTCTCGGCCGTGCGTTGCGGTGGTATCAAGCCGTGCATCTAATATGTTACGCTGCCCGCGAGTCCTTGTCACGCGAGCTTATAATCCCTTCGAGATCGAGAACACACTTGGCCCGATCCATGTAATGGTTCACGTTTTGATTGTAATCTGTGAACGGTACCTCGTAAAAACATTAATGCAACCGAAGGGGGATCGGTTCCCTGGGATGAAAACCAGTCAAGATTACGTCGAACTGGAAGGTGTAACGCATTGTCGCAGGAATTACCCGGTTTCGATGAAATCTTCTTGATACGAGAACGGAAGACGGTTAATGTAATAAATTATTCTTACATGATTATTGGAAACATGGAACAGTTCCACTGTTTCTTGATTGCATATTTTCTTTGACAATTGAGGAAGCAGTCTGTTTCACTAAACGAGTTTTAAAGTAATACGTGTTGCCAAACAGGGAATGCAAATAGAAGTGATAAATCATTGGTTTAACGTGCATGCATCGAGAGCACTGCTGCGTTTGACTAAGAATACGAACTTTCTAAGAATTGGAAAGATTTCGTGAACGATATTTCTAACCGAGGAATCACTAATCACTAATATTTCGTAAAAAATATACAGTGCTGTTCACTTGGATAGCCTCAAATAGCGTTTGTATGTAATATAAACAAAATAAAATAGATAGAATGATGAAATATAGAATTATTGTAAATATTCCTTCTCTGATCTATTGCAAAAACATTAACTAACTGTGACTAAACACACGATTCATGCAGAAGTTAGAAGACGTGTATTTCCAACAATAATGTATCTTCCAAGTACTTACATCAAAGTAAACTAATGTCATCCACTAATTTGTAATGCAAACGAATCTAACTAGTAAGCAAGAATTCTCAACGACATTCCTTTCTTTGACATAAGTTCACGTGCATACATTAATTTTTACCCGAGGCTATTCGAGTGAAAAGCACTGTATCAACAAACAGAAATGAATGGAATCGTAATCAATTTACGTATGAACTGGATTACGGATTAACTACGACCGTAATCAGAAAATACGTTTCGTGCCGTTGAATTTTTCTCACTGATATAACTGCTTG